ACCAGCTGACTATAAAAAAAAAAGGATGCAAATAGTGGGAACGCAGCATATCAGGCGTGTTAGAGGTGCTCAAAGTGTCCTGAGCCCTTCAGAGCTTCCCCTTATGACTGTCAGCAGCCTGCACACCTCCATGTCTGCACCATGGGCACCCTCAGCACAGTTTGGACCTCTCACCTTTTTTGGTCCAAAGGATGGGCAAGGGAAGGAATGAAGCTGAGGATGTATACTGCTTTCTTCAAAATATACTGTCTTCAGAATACACTCTCTCTTGCTTTGTCAGTTGCTAGACACTGTCATAAGGTTTTCATTGCAAATCTCTTCTCCTGGAGTACCATTAGAGTGATCAGTGTTGCAAATGGAGTCAACCTCTTCTGAAGATGAACAGTTGCAATGACATGCATGCTTTCTAGTGAAATCCTGTTCAAGCTTGCTCCCAAGGGCTTACAACAGACTGTTGTTAAGGGGACAGATGCGCTAGGACATGAAAGGATTTTTCTCCAAACACATTGACAAGTGATGTGTTTGAAGTTTGAAATATGTTTCCAAAAGTCAAGGCCTTGCTGTTTGTCCATTTTGTTTAACAATTGCTGCTGTTGTTAACTTCCACCAAAATAAATTTGGCAGCCAGCATTAGGAGAAATATCCCTTGTAATACGCATTGGCCAAGGTAGAAACTCTTCAAGAGTCCAGGCTCTCTGCTTAGATCCTGCCTAGGGTGAGTGTTACTCAGAAAATAACAAACTTTAATGACATTTTAATGGAAGAAAATGAAAAATTATCTCTGATCTTTTGTAGTTCAGTCATTGGTAACTGTTGTAATTGTGCTCTTTTGAAGTTGTATCATAACAGGATGGCTAAAAAGAGATAAAAGTTGCCCTGAGCTGTCTGGAGGTAGGTAATGCAAGCAACAGTGTGAATAGTAGTCACTGGTGAGGGGCAGAAAGTAATAGAAATTCAACAAGAAAGAGATGAGGAGAATAGCTGGGGAGGAAGCAACTATAAGCAATGTATACAGTTTAAATTGCATCCTACATAACACAGTGAATATGGGGAGTATTTTCTGTTAAATTTATTTTTATTTTGTGGGTTTTTGCCTTCTCCTTATCTTTTCCCTTTATATGTGTATGTAATTCTAAATATATGCATATATGAATGTATATTTATAGACATGCATTAAAATATAAATTAAAATATATAAAAGCAGTATATAATTAAAACTGTATGTGTGTATATAATTAAAACCTATCTATGTGTGCGTATATGTATATATATATGGCTTTGATTTTAAAAGAAGGCCTTGGACAGAAAGGAAGCAAAGCAATACGGAAATAGTAACTCAAGCCCACTGTCTCCTATGTTTTACAAGTATGAAACACCAGTGTGAAGATTCTCAGGGGGGATGGCGAGTACACAACCCCCTCAACAAACCCCATCGCTGCTGCTTTCTCTCCAGCTTAGGTGCCATGAGGCCTTAGTTCTCTAAGACAGCCAGCTGCACAGTGCCAGTACCCTTCTGCCTATTTTAAAGCATAAATACTAAAGCACGAGAGATTTTATTTCAGAGGAATCTATTCCTTTGTCTCGCTCCTGTTCCAGCTTGTAGCAGAGAGCTTGGTGACCGCTCTGATGTTGCCTATATCCTGTTGCAGTTCCCTGCAAACTTCCATGCTCATACAGTTAACTTCTCGTCAGTGCTAAAATACAGCAGGCAGGCTTCCAGAAGCAGCCAGGAAGGCAGTATTTTCCCCGCTCAAGTAAATTTTGCTTGGCATTTTCTTTCGCTGCTCTTCTCAGTGCCCAGGCAGCCTATTCCCCTGCAGGGCTCAGCGTGAGCATCAGCCTGCAGATGCAGACTAACTGCACTTAGTCTGCAGCAGGAGCTCTCAGTGCTTGGTACTTTTCCTAACACTTGACTGGGAAAATTGGCTGGGGAACCAGAGCCCTGAGTCAAGGAGCAAATACAAGGTATGAGCAGCAACCTCCTTGTTTTAACACCTGGAGGCAAAGCACATGCAAAGGGAGAGGATGGGTTATTGAAAGACTTGTCTCAGAGGGGTTCTTCCCCCTCCTGACCTTTTTGTCCTGCGCTATGCTTTAGTTATATATTGTCATTCTCTCTCCTTTGAAATTACAGTGACTTCGCATGTAGTGAGAGCACCAGCATCCCTGTGGGAGAAGAGGAGGAATGAAGCTAGGCAGCAGGTCCTGCCTGGCAGGAGGTTGTTTCCATCCACAGCTGGATAGGATCACCAATCCCTGCTAGCTCCTCTCATTTCTCTCAGGTTGATATCCTGGCGGGCACTGGGCAAATTGCTCCCGTACCTAAGGAGAGGTAAGACTGTTATGCTCTCCCTGGAGAAGTGTGTTATAAGGTTTAATTATCTCCTGTTTGTAAAGCAGTTTGTATAGAAGAAATTCTCTGTGGGAGGGCCAAGAACTATACACTAATGTTACTAAGTTGGTGTTTAAGCTAATAGCTCTCTCCTAACTGTACGTTTACCAAAGAAATAGACAGGTCTCCAGGTCACCACTTTGAATACAAAACTAGTTCCTTACTCCTTTGCCTGCTGGATGAGCTTTCAGTTATTCCCTACCATTCTCCAGTTTCCCACAGGCTGTGTTTGCAGCGTAAATTGGTATCCTTTGGAGTCACACCAAAGCAGGACCCTCCCTGGAGGTCCCTCAGTCCTGGGCCAGTTGCAGGCAGCAGCACTGTGGCCAGGTTCTGTGCACAAGACCAGATTTACTGCGGTCCAGCCTTTCTCTGGACTCAATCTCAGCACACACGAACAAGTGATGCGTTTTCTTGTAGCTCTGAGACACTTGAAATTCATCCAGATCTCTTAATTCTGAACTGCCCTGTGTCTCACAGTAGGTCCTTTTAACTCCTGTCTCTAAATGAGGCAGAACTTCCCGGCCACAGGCAGTTCATTTAAATATAAATGTAAAAGCTGTGCTGGAGGAAATGGTTTCTGCTCAGCTATTTGATTATGAAATCAAATCATTTCTCTGCTGTTTTCAAATTGGTGGCTAACGGACGGTAACAGTGAAAAAGGGGGACTGCAGGGCTGGGTTTACATGAATTAAAGACATTCATTCCTCTGTGTGCTTTAATCTATATTGAAAGTAGTGTGTTTTCAATTACGACCTGAGCCTATGGGATTTATTTTCTTTTAATCTCTATAGCAATAGAGAGGAAAGCCTTTAACCCCCAGGAAATTGTTAAAGGTAGGATTATACACCAGTGCCATCAATTATTCTTTCTAATGTTCACAAATGATAACAAAGAGGTGAATTGATGGGTAAGATCTCTACTTCAGGCAACAGGAAGCACCAGCTACAAGTAAAAGAAAGGCATGGATAAAGAAATGGCTTAGTTGAACTTCCCTGAAGCACAGAAACAAAATGCTGAAAGTACAGGAATCCAATAGTGATTTCTGCTCTCTGGTGTCACAGAAAATCACTCAAGGAGTTGTCTTCTGAGTGAAGTGGATGGATGGTTCCTGTTCTTTTTCAGAGGAAGTCAAAGGGCAACCAATACATCAGTGTTTGCTTCAACAGCTGAAAGTGTTTGAGTTTTCAAACTGAAGTTCCAACAATGAGCTCTCCCTTCACCGTAATTTGGGTGTTGGAAGGAGCAATGTAACTTTGGAAGCCCAGAAAGTTTAGGCTAGAGTTCCTTGTTCTAGGAACTAGTTGCTTTGAGCTGCCTTGTCACAAACTTCCTTGCCTTAAGTCACCTATAAGTCACTCTTCCCTACTGGGTGCCTGAAACTCCCTCTTTCTTTCGCCTCATGAAGAATAACTAATTCCCCTAAATACATTCTTTTTTATCTCAATGTTTACATGCAGCAGGGACTCACAAAAGCACACATAAAAAGGATATATGTGAAGAGTTCTAAGTTGGATGATGTGATAGCTCTTTTAAGTTTTGCAACTTTAACTACTTTAAAGAGTGTAGAAACTAGTATGTGAGAGGCATTTGGTGACATATAGGGATTCCCAAGGCACACGTTGTATTCTTCCTTCAGCTTAGCACTTTGCAACCTTGCAAATCTTTGCTCTTTACCTATCAGAAGCCTATGTTAGCACATGCAGGTGGTCTATGGGAAACTGGTCCTGCTGCCACCCAGCTTTCAGTAATGCACAGCACCTTTTCTCACTTCACCTTTGTTATATTTTGAAGGTTTTAGACCTAAATTACCCCGTCTCTGCAGAATGACTTCTACAGGGGGGAGTGTTTTGGGGTGATACCAAGCAGATATTATAGGTCCTACAGGTACCAAACTGAGGAAAGGGCCTGGTTGTGACCTACATTTCAGTACATTACTAAAAACTATGTATGTATTTCTAATGATTCCTTGGGCCATTCCTACTCATTCACCATATCTGTAGTTACTATTTCTATAAATCTCCTTGTATTCCCTGTTCCATCTTCTGCACTCTTCCCCAGGCAGATGACTTGCGGTCTTTCTGCTTTGTGCCTGCCCCTTTTGCTTGGACCAAGGGAAGAGTGAGTTTTGTAACAAAGCAGTACTTCAAAGTTATGTTCCTAGAACAGCAGCAGAAAAAGTAATAAAAGCCACAAAAAATATAGAAAAAAGGGAAAGGCCATTTATGCTTGTCTATAAACCATGTCTCAATGCCTTAGTCATTGTGAAACAGGGTTTATTCATACTTTGCCTTATAGCAACTGCTTTCTTTATATTATGCTATAATTTGTTTGGCTATAGTCTAATCAAAAGTGTGTGTGTGTGTGTGTGTGTGTGTGTGTATGTGTGTGTGTGCATCTCTGTGTGTTTCTGTGTTTTTCAGGATCTCTGTGTGTTTCTGTGTTTCAGCATCTGTGGTTCTGCAGTTCTTTGGGAAAATGAGGACAAACAGCTTGCTTGTAATAAACAGTCCCACAGCCTAATTTACTCACTCTGTATTCTTCCTTTAAAGATCTAAACAGAATCTCACATGCATTAAACTTCTGTTCCACTCATTGCCTCTTACAAGAGATGAATGGTGTATTCACAGGAGGATTCGGTTTTCATCTACACCCTGCTTCATGGTCAGTGGTTACGATTGTCTGAAAAGGTAGCCGTGGGCATTAACCAGAATCATACTGATACAGCAAGTAGCCAGGTATGTTCTTTCTTTGGGTTTGTCACTGTACTCACACACACTTCATAGGAAAAGTATTTGGTTTAAACTGTGCCTAGTTGTAATTATACCTTGTTCAAGGAAACATCCTTTTTCATTTCTTTCTTGCAGGGTTTCCTCAGTATTTCAGATCTCGTTTCCCCTCTTCCTTTTTCTCTTTCCGATATAAGCTTTAGTTCAAAGTTTCCGAGGTATGTACTCTGGATGGTTTCTGTTTCTTACTCCATCTTGGCTCCAGACTTCCAAGATATTTTGCTATAACTGTAGAATGAAAAAAACATCTGGACTGGAAAAGCATTGTAGGAGATCATCAGATGCTGGTAAAGGTAGTAACAGAGCATCTGATACTCATCAAGTGTAAATTTAGTAAAGGTAATTAAAAGGAGCACATTAAACTGAAAGAGGAGAGGTGGATCACGGGATAATCCCATGGAATGTCTTTAAGTGGTCCGTTACCCTCCAGGTTTGAGAAATGGGTGTTGTGAAGGTTCACGTTTGTCTTAAATACTCTGCTGTGTCTTGCACTTCACTGCAAACTACGTATTCTAATCTGCTCTCAGTCTGCAATATGGTTTTACACGAGTGCTTCATACATGACTGTAGCCAGGTTTTTAACAGCATGAAACATTTAAAAATGAATCTATTAGGTTACCTAAAAAAGCAGTAAAGTGCTTTCTGAGGTTGAGCCAGAGCTACCAGTAATTTTCACTGACATAAATTATACCCCTCCAAAATAATGGGAAAAAAAAAAAAAAAGGAAAAAGGGAAAAAATAAAAAGTTATGTTCAGGCTATTCCAATTCCAAACAGGTGTATATGTGCATAAAGATGCACATACTGAATGTCTTCAAGCACCTGATCTATTGGCCCTTGACTATATACATACAAAGGGAGGTTGCAAAGAAGACAAGAAAGAGCCAAGCTATATTTAGTGGTGCCCAGTGACAAGTCCAGAAGAAATGGGCACAAACTGGAGTACAGGAGGTTCCCTCTGAACATCAGGGAACATTTTTCCTGTGAGGCTGACTGAGAACTGGCACAGGTTGCCCAGAGAGGCAAGGCTCCCTCCTTGGAGATATTCAAACACCATCTGGACATGGTCCTGGGGAGCTGGCAGGGAGAACCAGATGACCTGAAGAGGTCACTTCCAACCTCAACCATTCTGTGGTTCTATGAAGTTTGAATTTTAGCAATACATGGTTTTAGTTCTGATGGTTCCTGTATCAATTTCAGGCCACACTCGTGATTAATGAGTGAACCAAAGTGAACAGGTTGGATGAAGCCTTGGGTGAGATGGTTTAGTGTGAGGTGTCCCTGCCCATGGCAGGGGGCTTGGAACTGGATGATCGTCAGCTCCTTTTCAACACTAACTATTCTGTGATACTATGATTCTAACAGCCTGGAAGCAAACCTACTGATGCTTTTACAGCCTTCTCTTCCACGGCATCACTGGTTCTTGTAAGGTCCAGGACAGGTTAAAAACTCGCAGACAAACAAGGAATTAATTTTATGTCTACTTGGTGCAGTGCCTCACCAAATATTGGCAGAAAAATCTCTTTTGCAGAGTAACTTTCCAGAATAACCGTATTCTTTTATCCTTCTAAATTGCTTGCTTGTGTGCGTCAGCACTATATCCCATGGACAGAAAGTTTCACACCCTTTTATCTTTTCTTTCTCAGAAAGCAAGCTAGACTCTTGATCTCTGGCACAATATCTCAGTTGAGTTCTTGGCCAAAGACTTCCTGTGTGACAAAGGTTATGTTGCTTTATTCAAGCAATGATCCACTAAGCTCCCAGTGGTTTCAATGCATTTGAGGAGTTTTAGGTCTTGTTTCCTTATTTGAGGAATATAGCTAACAATACTTTCCTTTGGCTGCCCTTTGTGCAGCTTCCCCATCTAGAAGATAATCTCTTTGTGGTAGACACAGTCTTCTGCTGTATGTTTAACGCTGTCTAACACAGTAGGTCATTCATCTTGGCTGGGAAGCCTTTGAGAGCTCTCAGCGTCCAACAGTGGAATGCCATTTCCACCTATGGCTTTTCTTATATGAAAGTTGGAATATTTTGCCCAGAACTACTGCAGATCAAAACTCAAATCATATGTTTCTTCTGAGGGAAGAAAGATCTGTGTGTATTTCATCCTGAGGTTTGTGGGTCTGGGCAAGGGGTTACCTCTTTGAAAGAGGAAAGCTTAGGAAGGAATGGACTGGCCTCAACAAATAACAGTAATAGTAGAAAATGTAATAATTAATGAGACTGACAGCTGAAATGGCTTATTCTTTTCTAGCAGTATAGGCCTGCAGTGTTACAAATTGTCTCCAAACCCAGATCTTGCACATTGGAGCGGAATCTAACACTGCTCCGCAGCAGTTTCTCACAAACTCCAGGAGAATGCTGTCTGCACGTGCCCTGATATTTTGCACTGCTTGGTGAAAGCAATTCCCTCGAAGAGCAAAGGAGAAAGAAAATGAGCAGAGGGTCCCACAACTCATCTCAAGTTCCCTTTGGTGACTGTCTTCCATTTCTTTTTCATGAGGGCTTTGACAAGCAGCAGCAGTTATAAGATTTTCATTTCCTGGAACATTTCTTGCCAGTCTAAAGCTTCTTTTTTTCCCCCCCCTTTTTTTTTTTTTTTTGTTCTTTTTCTTCCCCCTTTTTTTTCCTTTTAAGACAGATGTAGAGCATGACTGAAAGAGAGATTCGTGACCTACTTTTCCCAAATCACATATTGAGCTTTGTGTTCTTTCTGATGCTCAGTGGAGTTCTTCCCATTAGAAATCTCCTTGGGCTGGTTTATGTTAGCCTTCCCATGGCAGAACAGCAGGGCAAGGTATAACTCAGGCTGAGGAGGAAATCCTGTCATCATACTGGAAGAGTAAGAGATGGTTGGTGTTAGTGAACAGGTCTCTGTACCTTCAGTAAATAAATAAAGCCCAGACTAAAATGAAGAGACAATCTGCTTTATCAGTCATTTGCTGAAGGGAGTCCATGTGGATCCTTAATCAGGGCTAAGAAAACAAGGTTTAGGCAGTAGAATATGTTAAAAATTGGAAGTTGTGAGAAAAGGTCATGTGAATCTAGTCTGTATTAGCGACACTTAGGATGATTAGACAGTGAGGCTAATCATTTTATGTAAGACTGACTAACCCTCCTTGCCTTCAGTGGCATTTCATCACTTGTGAACCAGGGGGACACCTGACAGAGACCACAGCATCCCAACAATTTGGCAGTGCTGTTTAAGAGCATCCCCCAGCCAGAGCCGTCCATCAGATTGCTGGGCAGCAGCAATGACATTTCGGTAGATGTGTTTAATTATATCAATACATCAATAGTGCTGACATTTCGAAGAGCTATCACCTCAGGATAAGCCAGCTCTAAAACTAATCTCTTCTCTGTCCTTCTCCATCTGCCCTGACAAATAAAGCTGCATGAGTCAGATTTTTAAACAGAAGTAGTACCTAAAGAGAGGTGCAGAGCACAGAGAAGTCCATTTGGGAGCCCAAAGCAGCCAATTCCCTCTGCAACTCTTAGTGGCCTCGGCATCTCTTTCAGAGCCTAACTTCAGCCATGGTTCCACAAAAACCTTAAGAAGTCACAAGGACAAAAGAGAAAGGATGGTCCCATAATGTAAAACACTTGAATCTGCTGAAATTGTCTGGCAGACAAAAGTTAACCCAAATAAGCAGTTATATTGGCCAGGAGGAATTACCAAAGCGAATAGGTTTTGTCTCACTAGTCCACACATGTCCTGACTGTTAACACCAGTTAGTGAGCAGTTCCATGCAGCCACTGCTGCAAAGCATTGAGACTCGTGCTTGGGCTTTTCCACTGGTGCAGATTCAAACTGGTGCCATCAGCCAAAGTGAAAAGTCAGATCTCTAGGCTCTGAGGAATCAACAGATGTGCTGCTAAAAGTGAAAAATGGGAGATGCCTTAAGGAAATAATGCAAAAGCAAAGAGAAGGTAAAGCAACCATTCTATGGTTTGCAGATACAGGGTACAGCCCTCTTGCTTCAAACACACAGCAGCTCAGATAGCAGTGTTATGCAGGATGTAAGTGGGAATCTGTTGTTTGTCACTGGGTAATAGAAAACATTTAGTTGTCTTATTTAACATTTTTAGTCTTTACTGTTGTGTTTTCATGGCACACAGGATCTCAGAGAGAAAAGGCGTGAGGGTTTTTTGCCTCTCCTGCTTGAAAGCAGGAGCCAAAAGAAATCTGTGGGAGTCCACAAGATCTAGGATCAGTGGGGCTGTGCTCACAGCTGTAACAGGACTGAAGAGAGGGACACAGGAAAGGGAGCACCAAAAACGTTGTTTCTTGGCCACAGTGCAAACAGGAGTAGGCCAGAGAGGCTGCAGCTTATGCCAGCAGAGTGCATCCCTTCTGTGGGGTCCATAAATAACTGAGGATCTCCAGGCTAAAGCAAGACCCTGCCTGCCACTGACATGTCTTACAGCCTGCTGACTGGGGGAGGCAAGCAGTGGGAACTGACGATGCTCCACTTCACAGTTCTTCTTGCTTGCTTCTTGAGTACCAGTGACAGGCACAAACAGGCAGCAGGCAAAGCTCAAGAGTCAAGCCCAGTTTCTTCCGCCACTGCTGTCTCTACCAGAGCCTTTCCTGCCTGCTGAATCTTCCTCTGTGCTTTCCAAACCTTCCATTAGGTGTTTGCACCAATATTTTGAAAGATGAAAATCGTAATATTTAGTCTGGGGTATTGAAATAGAGCAGTCTACTGTTTAAAGAACCAAACCAAATCAAAACAAAGTCTTAACTCAAACTCTGCCTAATGTTGCTCAAGGCAACAAGTAATTCTTTAGTAGCTAAAATAATTCCTTAGTAATTAAAACAACTTGGCAAAAGCGATGGTTTTGGTTTGAAAAAAGCCTTACATTATACCTTTTTATTCACTGTAGCAGACAGTTCTATCTAAAGGAATTGTTCCTCTCTGCTAGAAATGTTCCCATAGAGTAAATCTTTTAAGGACTACACCCTGTAAGCTGAGGGCATATTTCCTGTTTATGGCCATACAAGACCAGCAAGTCTCCCCTGTACTGTTCCCAGGGCAGTTTTCCCGAGCTGAGCCGTTCCTAGCGTGTTTTCCAACCAGATCAACAATACCAATTTTCTACCACCTAGAAATCAATTTTGGTTTGATTTGTTTTGTGGGAGATGAAGAAAGTTGTTATGTTTTGCCGCCGGACCTGACTCACGCTCACCTAAACAGCTTCCCAGCCCCTGTCCTCTGCCACTGACTCAGTCAAACTGTGTAGAAACATGCTTTTGGCAATGAAAATCAACTGGAGGCTTATGCAGGCATTCATGTATCTACTTAGGCGTAATGAAAGTGCACTCAGGAGAACTTTCCTACAGCCATTTGTTGTGCTTATATTGCTTCTGTCCACACCGACTTCATGCCAAATTCAACCAACAGTTTTCAATTGCTTTTAAGTGTTCCTTTCAACTGTAAATGTTGGGTGGAAATAGCTACTAATTTTGAGCCTTATCCTGCTCCATGTTCCAAGTACATTTCTAAATGCTTTTATATCGCCCTTTCATGTGTTCTTTACCTTCCTTTTTTCAGAACCACAACTGACTGACTGAAGTTGAAAACTCACTGAAGGGCATTGTGTATCTCACTTCAGGCAGCTGCACACAAAATTGATGGAAAATTAACTTTCACAGGTGAGCTGAGCTTAATTCCTAATTTGCCAACAAGCAGGAAGTATTTAAGACCGTTAGGCCTTGAAGAACGTGGGAGAACCTTTTAAGAGCACGAGAAATTTTCTGGCAAACATCATGGTCACAAACTTTCCTCCAGCTTGTTCAGTGCACGAATGATTCTTTTGATCCTCTTTGGAAAGTGAACAGCAATGCATGAACATCAACGCTATTTCAGTATTACAATATAGAAAGCAAAATTACATTGGTGAGGACTTTTTATACAGGACAGTCGTTTTTGTACAGTGTGTTCTGGTTAGGTGAGATGTGCCCTGAAGAGCACCAGGATTTGTTTTAGATGGTGTTGACAGGGACTAGCTTAGCTAGTAAGGAGGGAAGGATGTTTGGGGCATAGGAAGAAATACTGGACAGACTGAGCATCACATAGCTTGACCATCTCAAGCTGCTGAGGACAGTTGTTCAACCTCTCTGCTCTTCCCCTGCTCACCCAGCTCCTGACATGATGTCCTAAAGAAGGACCTGCTCATATCTTGTGTGCTGAGTTGGGAGATGTAGCTGCTTCATTTTCCCAGTGTCTTTTCTCTTTATGCCTGTGGAGAGGACTTCTGAGATTTGATCTGTCTCCAAGGTTCCTGATATCACAGTATTTCTTTTTAACAGTTTTGCTGCCTCATCGTTAATTTCCCTGATCACTCTCAGATCTGTTATCTTTCAAACACCTCCAGTGACATCTCGTGCCTTCCCTCATTCTCTTGCATCTCTTTTAACCTAAAGTACAGAAGTTTAGGATGGAAGTCTGATTATTTTTTTTCCTGCAGCTCCATATCTTGCTTCCTAATTTATCCCAGACAACATCTATCAGATTGATCAAGAGTTGCTCTACATCAAACCTTCATTAAGCAAAATCATGATCAGAGCAGTTGCTGTCTGGCAAGCATCAAACATCTTCTCTGTACGTCATATTGTTCTTCTCTAGCTCTTTGCTGATGAATGCAGTACTGACTTCTTCAGGTACAAAGGTAGGTACTGCATTCACACAAGGTATCTGTCTTTATCTCGTGGGCTCATGAGGTATGATGAGCATTTATCTCATAGGTATTACAACTTTATTGTTAGCTCCTCTCATTCAATCTTTTATTTTGGATCATGATAGGTTTTGCAAACCCAAAACGTTTGCCACTGACTTTGTTTTTATTCTGGGTGTCATGTTCTCACTGCATGCCTTAAATTTTAGGGCAACAGAGTGTTTATCATAGTGACTAAATGATTTAAGTCGCTGTTGACACTGTCGCTTTCACATCATTATAAATATCTTGGCTCCAAAGGATTCAAGTTGTGTGATGAACTCCAATAAATCTCTTCCTTAATATTGTCAGGGCTTGAAATGGAAATGTCTGCAGTAAGGAAAAGACAGAATTGCAAGGGTGTCATACTTATCTCTGCCAAATAAATGGTGAGTTTTTTAATCTTTGCCATCAGGAATGATAAACGTTTCTGCAGTTGCTTATTATAGTGCTGCACAGAAGCCCTCCTGCATTCTCTCTCTGGTTGTGCAGAATTATGAGGGTAGGCCAATGAGGAGTAGTATGTATTTTAATTACAGAGTTAAAATCCATGCCAAATAAATCTGTGTCTGCCCTGCCCTCAGTGTCCTAAGTCTCTGCAAGAGTAGGAGAAGGTTCTCATTGAAACCAAGACTGCTTCATATTAAGCTGACAGGGAAAAGTATTCTTAAAGTAGGATTAAATGATACCAAAACTCCCTTTGAGTGGTGCTTTTGTTTTAATACTCCGAAACAGCTTAAGGGGGCCTCAGTGTAACTGAGGATCAGAGTCAAAGAAATACAGTGTCAATGAAAAGAAATACTGGGGTTTAGTTTAGCTGTGGATGTTTGTGTCTTTCCATACAGTGCTTTAGTATTTGTAAAGAATTTTTAGTGGAAATCAATGAACATTAGTAACGATCAAGTAATATAAGAAGCTGCATTTCATAGAATGGTTTTTATGGGCAAAATATCAATGTGTTGGCTTCCAGGATTCACAGCACAGGGCAGCACTAGGGAGGAAAGGAGCTATAAGCCACTCAACCTCACTCGTCTCACATAATCAGCACAGAAATCTAAACGCAGGCCACTGACAGCTTTAAAATGGAGCAAAATACCTTCAGCAGTCTCACAAAACCAAGGAAAAAGTCACATCTAAACCTAAACCATAAGAAAGAGGAAATAAAGCACAAAAAGAAGCTGGGGATCTGGTGGGTATTTTAATGGCAGCATAGGAAAGATGAGAGCTAGGCAGTATTTTACATCAGCTTACAGAGGCAGGGACACAGTGGTCCCCTGCCATGGGAGAGGAAGGTCCTATGGGACCCCCAGTGTTGACCCTCCAGGCATCTCCCCTTTGCATGGGGAGGGATGGCCTCATCTTCTCAGACCCACAGACAGGTTTCTCATGTGTTTCTCCAAAACCAAAGCTTCCTCTGGAAGGGAATTTGAGGCACAAGGCTCCCTGGGGCATGCACCAAGCCTGCCATCTGCCCTTTTGTCTGAGACAAGATATATTACCCAGTGCTTGTGAAACCATGCATATAAACACCAGCGAGGGCTAATGGAAAGCATGGGTCTCACTGCATATTGCTTGGGACTCTCTAAAAGGCTCATTTTCACTTCCTGGTGTTCCTAACCTGAAAGACATTTTGTAGTCAAAACTACCGTGGCAACCGGATCTGACCTTCTAAAGAACACAAGCCGAGGGACTAATCAAGAGAGATGTTTCAGTAACTCTTCCTTACAGGAGCCTGGTGCAAAGCTTATGCCACAGAACATGGAAATCATCATCTAAATGAGTGAAGAGTCAAAACTGTGACTGGAATTTAAACACCTCATTGCTACCACCTGTGTGCCAACGAACCCACCTGTGAAAGCTGACATAAGCAATAAGCCTCTTGCAAGAACTGTCTCTGTCTATACATGAAGCCAGGCAATGGATAAAACGATGGAAAGGTGTATTCAGGAATATATAATCCCAGTGAATTTTGCACCAACAAAACATGCTATTGAAGGCTGCTTCTGTGCAAGTCCACCAAGCCTTTGACACCACAGATTAGTTCCAGATTAATTCCTTCTTCCTTCAGCACTTCCCAGTTGTAATCCAGAGAAAATTCTGTCTTCCATCTTGGCTCACCCCTTTGACCAGTGGTGTTTCCACAGCAGTTAATGCAGATGGGTGCTGTACTCCTTAGCATGAACAAGGCGCATTGCTGTACTGTGAGGAAAGGTCTCATTAGAACCACGTAAAATATCCTGCTAAATCCTTTCATTATGTAAAGTCTTCCAAGAAAACCATCCCAAACCTGGAAACAAGGCTTTAAGGTAAATATGCAGTGCAGCTTAAAAAAGAAAGAAGAGGAGGAGAGGGGAAATTGAATGTTACTGACTTTATTGAATGTCTCTATTCAAATATCTTGCATAAGCAGACATGTCACTTTAATCAGACAAAACCCACCAGGGAAGGTGGTAATTATTTGTATTACTTCTTGACAGCTATAAAAAGCTAAAATGTTACTGTGCAAATCCTGCCTGAGCTATTTAAACAATTGAAAAATGTGATTTAACAGCTAAAACAAACTTGATTCAGGCGGATCCCTCATCGGCATGTGGGAGACGAACTAAGCTGCCTCTTTGTACAGGGAATAGAAATTAACTGCACAGTGCCCTCCAGCTAGCGTGGCTAAAACCTGATAACAAATACACCCTAAAACCTCATCTAACAGTAGGGAGGGTCAGGGGTTTGCCTTGGAAATTCCCAGAGGGCTTCAGCAGCCAGGCAGAAGTGCCAGGACCTACGGGTGACACTGCCTTGCACAGGCAGAGGAGGCGAAGAAAGGCAGGAATGAGGTTCTGCAGTATTGTTTGCATTGTCAGGTCTGCTCCAAGAATGTGATGTGCCAAGGAGCAGGGCTTCAAGGGTTTAAAACTCCATGCCAGGACTGGCGGTAGACCCTGGGTTAGGGCCACCTTTGTTGGCTGGCGCACCAACAGAGCCAGCGTGAGAGAGGCTTTGTAAATGCAACTGCATGTTTTCAACCACCAAGTGAGCTTCCAAGAGAGGGGTGTCAGAAGATTTAACCCAGTTCAGCCCTGGGGAAAGCCCTGGGCTAGCTGTCAGTTACACTAAAATGCTTCTATTGAGGGGTTTTTCTTAAACACTAGCCTTTGATACTTGAGTTGAAAATCACAACAATGCCAAAAGCGCAATGATTTCCAACAACAAAATCTGTGTGGCCGCTGTGGAAAAGACCCAAATGCTACTATCAGAAATCTGTTTCTGCTTATGGGTCGCGGTGTTGATAAACTAACATCACATAGGTTATGCTTAGGACTTCTTCCTTCTTTCTACATGTTCACAGTGTCCGCTGTGCTTTGCCCTGCTTTGTCTTTATAGCAATACCATAGAAAGCTGTTTTCCGCTTTTACTACTCCTAGATACTCCAGACTCGCCTCTAAAACCTCAAAAAACTAGGGATTCTTTAAAAAAGCTGAATATCTGAATAATGAAATAAGAAATGAGTCTCTCTGCAGGCAGTGGGATTAATAAAGCCTGGCTCTCTAAAGATTTGTCTTATTTCCCTATAAGCTCTTTGATTTCATCAGTAACTTGGGTTCCCACATTCCTTACTTGATCACCATGACACAAGGGAAAGGCTGAAAACCCTTGCTAGCTGGGCAGCCAAGAGCAGATGCTTTGCTACCTGAACCAGGAGCTCTATTTCGGTTTCTATGCCAGACAGGCCGTGTCTGTTTTCAGCCATTCCTTCATCCTCACCGAGGCTAGAAATGTATCTTCAACAAGCATTGGAACTGTGGTTCCTCTGCTTCTAATGATATCCTACTTGCTTCCACCTACCTCTAATGACTGCAGTATCAAAAGGGTCAGGAAATAACTGCAGAACTGAGAAATCCTCCATCTGAGTTCTCCTTTTTCAAGCAGAAGAAGGATTAGTCA